CTATTTGAAAATTATTTACATGTTTATTGTTTGGAAAAAAAGACAATAGTCAGGCATTGTTAAATGCATTAGGTGAAATCTTGGCGAAGAGAAGTAAAGCACAAATGTGTAAAATGCGCCAAATCGATATTTATTCAAGATTAATCCAAGTCAGCAGTTTTTGCAGTTGTGACAAATGTGATCCAAGTTCTACAAATGAGGCACTATGACAATAAATACAAAGTAATAAATCAACAGCCTTCTTACCAAAAGGTTTATTAAATGCAGGATTGAAAATAATCCGGAAATTACAAAAAAAGGCTAAACAAGGTAAAATGAACACCTGGAGCAAAGGGCACCTGTTAGTTAGAACACAAAAGACTAAATAACCATGGCTAAATGTTATTATGTCTAGGTCAAAAAGTGGAGAAGAGTCAATTACAAGATTAACTAGTTTAAAAGTAAAGAATTAACTTAACATTAATGAATCAACGAGAAAGGGAACACATTAAGTATATGTAAGAAAGAGAAAATGATAAATCAGATACAGGATAGGGCCTGTATTGCACAAACAATATGCGCATATTTGGTGGCTTATATTGGCTAATAATGCTTGTGACTTAAAGCACAGGATGCAAATATGCCAGTAAGAGATCGATCAATTTCAGTTCTAAACGTCAATGGGAAGATCCAAACAAACAATACAAAATGGATTTAGATAGGTAGATATAGATAGATAGATCGATAGATAGATAGATAGATAGATAGATAGATAGATAGATAGATAGATAGATAGATAGATAGATAGATAGATAGATAGATAGATAGATAGATAGATAGATAGATAGATAGATAGATAGATAGATAGATAGATAGATAGATAGATAGATAGATAGATAGATAGATAGATAGATAGATAGATAGATAGATAGATAGATAGATAGATAGATAGATAGATAGATAGATAGATAGATAGATAGATAGATAGATAGATAGATAGATAGATAGATAGATAGATAGATAGGTAGATAGATAGATAGATAGATAGATAGATAGATAGATAGATAGATAGATAGATAGATAGATAGATAGATAGATAGATAGATAGATAGATAGATAGATAGATAAATAGATATAATAAGATTTTTAACTCTTAGAGTCGTGGAACAGATACAATTTTAAGGTTCCCATCCGATTCGCTTGACGACACACCTTTACTAGAATAACTGACCTGTCTGTTTTTTTCCCCCCATATGAATAAACTATTTACATGAATTGATTGTTTATGATCAATACATGGATTATCGGAAGTATTGGTGAATTCTCTAAGATCGAATAAAATATGGCTGCCAAGTTATATGTGGTTTTGATTTTAAAATACTACGGTAAAACAACCAATAAATACTAATTTTTTCCCGAATTGTGTACTTGACACCACCTTTTTACTCATTTGTCTATTGTAGACTACGTTAAGAAGAGGTTATTTGAAATGGGAAATATTCTTAGATAGATTGGCTGACTGGCTACTCACCAAGCAGTCATTAAAAAAAACAAGCAATAATCTGTTCCTTTCATAAATCAGGATAACGTAATAAGAAGACGAAGATTGTCAGAATTATGTGGTACATTAGCTGGGCGACGTTTAATATCCGTTTTTCGATGTTCAATATGTGTGTGATATCAAGCGTTTTCGGGCATATTTCTGTTCATTTACTGGGTGACTGTTACATATAAGAGCACACATTTTTACTAAGAACTTCAATTCAAGCTCTAATTTTCACTCTGTTTGATTTTTTTATACAGTAAATTGTGATGCGCATGTTCGTAGAAAATAAATGTAAGTAGCTTCAGATGCTTTAAATGAAATCCCCAATGAATACTCTACTCTTACATTCCAGTACTCACCTACTAAATGAATGGAAATATACTCAAAAATGCTATATTCTGAACTTCTATTGGAAATTAAAAAACTGAGAGGCAACCTGGTGCAACTATCACAACACATTTTGAACAATCTGATCACACATATATGCTCTATAAGCGATATTTGGATGACGTCGTAGTGATCTATGACAAAACGGAGGATATGAATTGTTTATGAAATAAACATAACGCTCAATTAAATTACATCAACCTTTCATGCGAAGAGAAGAACAACTAGTTTCATTTTCTAAATATATGTAGAAACGATGGCTCAACCGAGCTAAACGTTTTCGGAAAGCCAACTTGGACGGGCTATTGTCTAAGTCTTTATAGTTATTACCTAGTACGATGCAAATTGAGATTGGTAGACAGCCTATTTAATTGGATTGACCGTATTTGTACAAATGATACTGTTGAAGACGAAGTGAGGCTATTATTAAAACACCAATGGAGAATGGTTATCTTCTAAGATTCACAAGTCGATGGAAAGGTTACAGTATGGTGAGACCTACTATACATCTGGCATCATAAGAGCTTGTCTACATTACTGTATCACTCAGAGGTGAGTCAACACAGGAGTGTGTTGAAACAAAGGCTCAAAGCTGTTGTGAGTAAAACATACGACGCAGTAAAGATCAGTGTCCCTCAAAAAACAGAGTTCGTGGTTTATCAATGGGTTTCAATGGTTGTCTAACCAAGGTCAGTTATTGATGCCAACCGAAAATCCCAGTAGTCTCCCATACTTATAAAGCTTATTGCTCGGTATCGTATTGAAATGTCTTAGTTCTATACCTATCAGTATTGATAAACTGTAGTGTCTTACAACTACACATGCCATTTATTCATAATCTCAAGATCTATGGCAGATAATCTGAATTTCTGATTGGAGTTTCGAAGAAATTTCATGTACTATCGATTTTGTGACAAGGGTAAGTAGATTCATTCCTAACAGTGTAAGCACAAGCACAGAATTGAGATTATGAGTAGGAAAAAACTCACTGTGCATGTTGCATAACTAATTTATCTTAAACAAAATCTATCACAATACGATATCAGCAAACATAATCTGACCTCTGATTTATAAGTAAGTTTATTTTTACCTATCTAAACTATTATGTAATCAGAAAGGGGTTTTGTGTATATTATAGTAATTTAATGGTTGAGTTCATGAGTCGATTGAAGCTAGACCACCATGGAAAACCTGAAAGTACTGAAGGGCCGTTTCCTCTGAGTGTGGGACTCCTCAGCCATGCGCATCCACGATCCCACACGCAGGACTCCAACCCAAAACCTATAGGTCCCGCGCATGAACACTTAAGCTGTAGACCATTGAGCCAGCATCCAACGGTGTCAATGTGTAACTTCAACCAATCCACGATATTGCGTGACCGTCCATCATTGTCTCCAGTGAGTAACTGCCTTACAACAGACCCCGTTGAACTCCACTGGTCACAACTTCTCACTTGAACTCCAGGAAATACATCTTGAAGCCAGTCACTACTGAGCATATGATGATTATTATCTGATATTACATAATCAGTCATATTTATGCTTAGTTATACTGAATAATTAATACTATTTTCTTTCTTATGACTTTCAATCTGTTGTTTTAACGTTCGATGATAGTCATATATATGTACGAACAAAATCTCAATCAAATGCACTTTATATCAAGTCGCATAGATCGGTGACCATATTGAAACTAAATCAATCGAGTCCAATTAGTATCAAGGACTAAGTACACATGACAATGACCACTACCAAGATCAATCTTTGTAAATAACAGTCCTACAGACGATATATTGCTGCCTGAACAGTTCCGTAATAACTTCCCAGACTGCGACACAGGAAGACTAAGGTTCAAATTTCACAGGAAGCATTAATTCCCTTAAGATTATAGGTTATTCATTTTGAAGCGAGATTAGTACAAAAACTAGGTTCATGGTTTCCTACTAAGTACCTCCAACAGCCTACTAGTAAAAATATTATAACACATGTCTCGTTTCCGCTTATATTCAGTTATCGTATAAAATAAAATAATTCCGTGTTTACTTTGCTAAGTTGAATTTATACAGACTTGATATAATAAACACTAATTGAGTAATATAAAGGTGATATTTGATTTACTTGGCTTAGTCAGCAAACATTCAGATAGGTTACTTTTTTTAAAAACTAGTTTGAATGTTATTAATGTTTGGACTTTGATTTTAACTGTTGTTCAATGCAAGTTTCTAACATATAACTTAGTCATATACCTATGTCAAAGATGACAGTCGACATAGGAGTATATGCATTTGTAGATGATCAGAGTGATACAGACTATGAATATACTAGCGATTCCTTTGACTCGATAATTAATTCAGTCACTCATTTTAGCTATCTTCATATATGCATCTGACCTACATTATAATCTTAACTCAACAGTTCTTGTCCGACTTAAATTCCATTTAAACCCAGAAATTCATATGAATCTACGTTAAAATGTCTCTATTTCCAACGAGTTTTTTCCTGACTGACTTCATTCTACAAGTTGGTTCTTTTACAACCTAGCATTTTAATCCATGAATGTATTTCTTTCCTATTTTATAGAATGAAACAAGTTGCTTCCTTGTTAATCTTTTAACTTAAATTCTTCATATTTACTGAACAAATCGCTAACTAAAGTGAGTTAATGGCTTAATGAACAATGTCTTATTAGTGACAGAGATACCAGCGGATCAACAATAGGATACAAATATATTCAATTAACGAATCCCAAATAGGACAACATGAGTTTTCTAGGATTATACTGTTAGGTAATTTCTAAGAGCAACATATACTTATATCTACCGACTACATATATATATTATTGTAACAACTCTTTAATAAATCTACATCCAAAAGACTGATCAACATTCACATAAATCATGACAACTAATAATCATCATCCTTATACCTGAACTGATTACCTACATATGTATTGAGGAGTACGAAAACTTGATTAGATTCAATCTACTACTACTATTATTATTATTATTACTACTACTACTGCTACTACCGTGAAGTGCTACATTAATTACTTACGATAAGACCAATACAGAAAATAATTATACAATTTTAGTAAATATTTGCATTTATTATTAGTAGCTAAGATTATCTTCCTTTTTTTCAACAAAAAAAAGAGAAAAACAAAACCACCTATTCTTGTTTCTTATTTTAGGCTTGAAAACAAATGGAGTAAAGATGTAGATCTTCAGAGAGAAACAAAGAAGAAAAAAATTGGAAGGTAAGATTAGGTTGGGTATATTTATTAATTCATATTCTTGGTAATAATAAATAAATGAACTTGGTTTGTTGTTGATGTCATGTATAGGACTAGTTAGACAAATAGGTGAAATATGGAAGAAAATTGTTTTAGTTGACTAGATAATTCAGCACAGAAATATCCTCATAATAATAATAATAGACATGACAAGAATATAATTAATTGGATAAGCACTTTTAGTAAATAGTTTTAGAAGCATTTACGGTGAACAATACCAGGACCAGATTCATCATATTCTTGTTTGGAAATCCACATCTGTTGGAACGTAGACAATGAGGCCAAAATAGAACCACCAATCCAAACGGAATATTTTCGCTCAGGTGGAGCAACTATCTTGATCTTCATTGTGCTCGGCGCCAATGCAGTGATCTCTTTCTGCATACGATCAGCAATACCTGGGAACATTGTCGTACCACCTGACAACACAGTGTTCGCGTACAGATCTTTACGGATGTCCACATCACACTTCATTATTGAGTTGAATGTGGTCTCATGAACACCAGCAGATTCCATACCCAAGAAACTTGGTTGGAACAACGCCTCAGGACAACGGAATCGTTCGTTACCGATCGTGATCACCTGACCATCAGGCAGTTCGTAACTCTTCTCCAGAGATGAGCTGGACGCGGCAGTGGCCATCTCCTGTTCAAAGTCAAGAGCCACATAGCACAGTTTCTCCTTGATGTCACGCACGATTTCTCGCTCGGCTGTGGTCGTGAAGCTGTAACCACGTTCCGTCAAAATCTTCATCAAGTAGTCAGTCAAGTCACGACCAGCCAGATCCAGACGCAGGATAGCATGTGGTAGGGCATAACCTTCGTAGATCGGAACAGTGTGTGTCACACCATCACCAGAGTCCAACACAATACCAGTTGTACGACCCGATGCGTACAGTGACAGTACAGCTTGAATGCCCACGTACATGGCTGGTGTGTTGAATGTCTCAAACATGATTTGGGTCATCTTCTCACGATTGGCTTTCGGATTCAATGGAGCCTCGGTCAACAGGACCGGGTGTTCTTCTGGAGCCACACGCAATTCATTGTAGAATGTGTGATGCCAGATCTTCTCCATGTCATCCCAGTTCGTCACAATGCCGTGTTCGATTGGGTATTTCAGTGTGAGAATACCACGTTTCGATTGTGCTTCGTCACCAACGTAGCTGTCTTTTTGACCCATACCGACCATCACACCCTGAGATATAAGGACAGATAGAGAGAGAAACAGAGAGAAATAAGCATTCAAATCAAGCTTCAAATTATATTTCATTGTCGAATACAGTTGGCATATACCAACAACAACAACAACAACAACAACAACAACAATAACAACAACAATGTATGATTAGAGTGATTGTGATAAGTGTTTCACAGTGAAGTAACACGGATGGATATCTCGATATCTTATCACTGTGTTGTAGGTATCACAACTATTCTAACCGAGACATTGCTAAATACAATCCTATCAACTTAAAATGATAATATGACTGTAATATGATAATAGATTAATACAATAAAATGAGAAATTGATTTGTTGAATGAATGTTATGACTATGCTTACTTGATGTCGAGGTCGTCCAACGATGGAGGGGAACACTGCTCTTGGTGCGTCATCACCAGCGAATCCAGCTTTGCACATCCCTGATCCATTGTCAACAACAAGGGCTTGAACTTCTTCGTCGGCCATGTTAACTTAGTTTGTTGAATTTGATAAAGGGCAATTAACTTGAGTGTGATAAACTTAGGAATTCAGTGGATTAACCCTAGATAATCTCTTATTTATATATATCATCATGTTTGCACAATTGATGTCCATATATGGCTTTAATTTTTTAGTATATGGGAAGATAGTTTTTACTTCAAACAACCAATAGAATCGTAGATTAAAGAGATTATTATCTTCCTCTCTATCCTTCGTCATTAAGTGACTATATTTGTAGATGGCATTAAAAACACATTTATTGATTTATCCTAGTTGTGCACAATAAAGAGATGCAAACTTGAATGAAAGGTTATTATTTGTGTTAACCTCACTTCATTAATTCAATCAATAAAACATTCTTAAAATTAGAACTTTTCTGGACACAAACTGAATGATAGGCAATAAACCTTTTTATAAGGTACATATCAATTTCTTTCTAAAATATCGGCTTATGTTCTTTTTTGTTTGGATTCTTGTATTTGGCTCATTTAATTCCGTTATTCACTAAGTCGATAATTATATACGAAGATCGGTGGCATGTATATTTTAATAGAAATCAGTAAACGATCTAATTGGAGTCAGATAAAGGGCCATTACAATGCGTTGATAGAACAACAAGTCGACAATTTGAAGGTGATTTCAATTTAAGTGTATTGAAATAGTTTTAAAACGAATGCTGGAAACCAGGAAACAGATTGCCTTACCATTTATGAGAAATATTTCATTAAAGGAATTTTGATGCCCTTTAGAATTAATGTTACTCATAAACCAACACAATCACTTCATTCTACTCAATACAGATCAAGAAATGCAAAAGCAGAATAAGACAAATTCAATGTCATCTACAAAATAAATCGTACCAAATGAAATAAATACTACTTTGGATAACGTGGATGGCCATTTCATCTAAGTATAAGTAGAAATGGTTTAACAGTGACACTAAATGACATGCTATCAATGTTACCAATATACAGAGATAACCGTGGACGTGAATTTGACTGGATTAATGTCTAAATTTCAGATCGGGAGAACTATAGAAAGAGTAGAGAATCTCTAGATGTGTGAGAATCAGATCAATTAGCAATCAGTAGGCAGATCAGCATAGACTCAGTCTATGGACTCACACGAAAGAGGTCAATTGGTCATAAGGCTGGAGTTTAATGGGAAAAGACAGTCAAAAAGAATCCAAGAACAAATGAAAACAATAAAATATGCATAGACAGATGGTGACCATCAAAAGCATTAAATAAACTGATATAGCATTCGTGAAATAACTGAAAACCTCATTTCTACATGAAGTAGGAGCTTAAGATGTTATTCATGAAAGTTTCTTAGTTAAACTATATAACTTAGGGAACACAATATTACTAAATATTTAAGAATCATTTTGTAATGACTTTATAGATTACCAGTTCGGTGTAGGGTTCTAGAGATTGTTGAATTTCATTGAAATCACGAACCGTTCAAGGTTAGACTTAGAAGCTCTAGACGACCGTCTATTCCCAGTATTGGACTAGTTAGCGGCGCAAATCGACAACTCTCCACGCGAGAAATAAACCCAGGATCTTTGGCATCGCGGCTCGGTGGTCAAGAGATAGAGCATTCCTGTACGATGATGATTTTCATCAATGAAGTGACGAATGAGGAACACAGGAAAAATGTTTCACTTAGGTTCTAGAATCACCTTAATCAATAAGCTTCAAACAATGAGTATTTATAATCTGACAAGGTGTCGAAGCAAGGAACTTCAGTTGCATTACAGTTATCAAGATACTTTCTAGTTAGGAAGTTAGGAAAGACCCACTGGATTTTTTTAAAGTTTCAGTCATTTTATGACACAAAACTATCCAATATCTATTTTTAGTGAATATTAAGTCACATTATACGAATAATCTTTAAAATCACCTTAGTAATTAATAGTTCTGTGTTCATTAGTAGCATTAGATGAAAGTGATTTCCTAGAGAAGCCGTAACTGATAGAATTACCTTAATAAAAATAAAATTAATTATAGGATTGTGACTCGATGGTTTTAATATTATTTTGTTAACTACGATGCTTAAAAGAGTAGCTTGGTTGGAAAAAATGGTGTGTACTGATGAAAAGTCTCAAACTAGAAGGAAACAGTTATTCAATGCTCTTCCGAGAAAATAAAATGGACTATTGATTAGATATTTGCTACGATTTCTTCGATTAGTTTTGCTAACAACTGACAATAATAAACAGTAAAAAATCAAACAAACTTATCTACCTGATTTTCGCCCGAAACATGAAGACAGTCTGGAGCTTATAAAGGAATTACTATACCTAATGTGATCTCGTTATATCGACTTATGCAGAGAATCATTTCTTCGCACTTTAAAATATTAGATAAATTTCACACTACTCATGAGTAGTTTAAGAGCACTAATAAATATATTGATGAATGCTCGGAATTAGACTAATCTATGAAAAACTTTCGAAACTGATGTTCTCTCTTTGGACATACAGCGAGTGATACTTTGTTACAGTTCACATGTAGGAGTGTAGATACTCTAGAAAGTGAGTGCGTTATCCTTGATCTCACAACAGTGTCTATTACAGATGTCATTTCGAGATTCTAGTAAGAAGTTGTAACTGATAGAGACTAATCATGTTATAACTAAGACTATCGTCACCAATGGTATTGGATTATAGTGACGATATATCGCGAATTAACTAAATTAGAAATATATGGGTAATTGTATAAGAACTTTCGTCTAAATTTGATCGACTTGTTTCACAGTATTTGGGCAACTGTATTCAAGCTCATGAAATTCCTGGAGGAATTGAATATACTAGGTTCGTTCCCTAGAGCTTGCGCACTGGTAATCGGTTGCATAGTATGGTTAAACAAACGTGTGATGCTTCCTATTTCTAAAACCTAATCAATTAGTTCAGCTTCAATTACACTCGTAATGTTGAAGGCTCTTGAAAATGTCTGAATTTCATTTACACTACTTATAAGTAACCATATTATCCAAGACGAAAATCTGTACTACATTATTTATGGACTTCAACAGCAACTTGCTAATCATTTTAATAAAATTTATCCGTATTTTCAAACAACACCAGTATAATTCCTGAAATTTACTTGCCAGCTTGGGTTTAAATTCTTTTAAGCAAAGTAAAAGATAGAGGATAGTGAAATACTGATGATTCTTGAGAATATTGTGGGATTACTCCATAGAAAAATCACTTCTCTGGGTATACTGAACACAATCAGACAGTCAGTCAGTCAGTCAGTAACAACATAGAGCTTCGTGCGTACGTACATCAGTTCGAGTTGCCACACCACATTAGCACAGAGATGCAGTTGTCGATTCAAATCCCGTAGTGGTAGAGGTAATAAGAGTATAAGCAGTAATCGGGAAGATTAGGGTTTGGAGATGTTATTTAAAGAATATAATCCAGTGAAATAAATTTGGAGAGAGGGAAAAAGGAACATGAAGAATTCAGAAGATTAGAATTTGGGAGAACACAGAGAGTGGATGCACCTGCACCATTGCAAACGATTTTGAGCCATGTCATTCAGGGTCTCTAACCATCGGTTGCTATCATCTCGTGGTCCCCAGCCAGGTAGTCTACACCTACCAACATGACTCAGTCCACTTGTCAGTGACTTCATGGATTTGTGCCATGTTTTAGTTTGGCCGCCCCTAGCTTTCTTCCAACGTACTCCTATACCACTGAACATAGCACGTCGAGGTAGTCGGTCGTTGGGCATACGTAACACGTGTCCCAGCCATCTCAATTGATGAAGTTTCACTACTTCATCAATTGATTTGCCATCCTTACCTAGTACCCGTTTCCTAACAACTGTGTTACTTACTCGATGGTCCCATGATATACGAGCAATGTTTCGAAGACACCTATGATCGAATACTAGTAACCTACGAATATCCTCTACTCTTACCGGCCATGTTTCACTGCAATAAAGTAGGACGGAACGAACTGCTGCGCAGTAAACACGTCCTTTGGTTGATAGACGGATATCTCGCCTACGCCATAAATGACGCAAGTTGGCAAAAGCTAGTCGAGCCTTCTGTATCCGTGCTGAGATTTCGTCACACACTAAACCACAAGGGCTGATGAGACTTCCAAGATAAGTGAAGCGGTCGACACACTCAACTACTTCACTCCCTATCACTAGTTCGGGTGTCGATGTAACCCAATCCTGAAGCAACATTTTGCATTTCGAGGGAGAGAATCGCATCCCGATCATGCTTGCATTGTTGCTTAGAGTGGTCAGAAGACTCTGCATTTTGTCAGCGTCTTCACCAAATAAAACTATGTCATCAGCATATTCTAAGTCAACAAGTGGACCTCCCGGTACAAGTTCAACCCCTGTAAATTTAGATGAGGAGAGTGTTATCTCTAAAAGTACGTCGACCACAAAGTTGAACAAGAATGGGGAGAGTGGACAGCCCTGACGAACACCACTTGAGGTGATCAATTCTGATGACAGTTCGCCATAAGCTCTCACTCTACCAGTTGTGTTCGAGTAGAGAGCCTTTATAAGGTTAATGTACTTCTTTGGTACTCCTTTCAGTGGCAAACACTGCCATAGAACCTCACGATCAATAGAGTCGAATGCCGCCTTAAGGTCGAGAAATACTACGATTGTGGGGCGTCTGAACGTGTATCTGTGTTCTAGAACCTGACGTAGTGTGAATATCTGATCGATACAACCACGTCCAGGTCGAAAACCGGCCTGATTTTCTCTAATCTGCTCTTCACGAGCTTTGATTAGGCGTCGAAGTATTATTGAAGCTAATATTTTGGACACTATATTAGTCAAACTGATTCCTCTGTGATTGTCACAAGAGGACTTTTGTCCTTTCTTATAGACTGGCACAATCAGTGATTGAGACCAGTCAGATGGGATTACGTCCAGTTCCCAAATTCTACCTAAGACCTCGGTTAATCTCATTGCTAATACTGGACCACCATCCTTAAAAATCTCAGGAGTAAACCTGTCAGGGCCTGCTGCTCTCCCTCGTTTCAGATTTCCTATGGCTTTTTCAACTTTGTAA